AATTTACATTATTTTGTCTGGGCTGTCAGATGGCCAGAAACGTTAACCTTTCCTGATATCATCTCAATGTTGTTTGTGGGTTTTCTTCCCTTCCTCTTCCCCCTTCCTACCCCAACGTCCACTCTTCCATGTCTATGTTGTTTGATCATAACTGATAAGAGCAACTGTCTTCACTTCTTTTAGAACAGCAGGGTCAGATCCATAGTTGGTGCTAAGTCAGCATTTCTCCACTGATTTCAACAAAGACTTGCTAATCTACATTCCAGCTGAGGACCTGGCCTGTAGTTGAACAGGGCCTGGTTCTCTATGCATTTCTTTTTCTCAAGTGCTGTTCATCAGAAACTTCTTAAGTTAAATATTTTCCAGGATATTTTTTCTTTACAAGTAGAGCTGGCTGTATAATGGGGATTTTTCCTGCAATAGGTTTTTTTGTGTTTTGGGGGAGGAGGGGGAGGGGGTTTGCAGGATAAAGAAATCCCCTTTTAAAATGTTTCCACTTTGAAATGGGGGAGAAATCACAGGGGAATGGAGTTTTCCCCCATCTTCCTATACTTTCTTACTACTTTTCAGGAAATGGAAGGAAATACTTTTCACTTTCAAAAAATTAAAATGTTTAAGTCTACTGTATTCCTCAGGTTGGGTTTGGATATATATATATATAGGGATCTCTGTAATATTATTTAAAAAAGAGAAATGCTACAAGGTATTGTGCTATTGTGAGAGACTTCCCATGAGCAGAGAGAGGTAGTTAACGGTGCTAGTCTGAAGTCAGGCAGAAGGAAGGGGAGATTTGCACTTAAAAACTGAACAAATCAGAGATGCATAATATTTCATGAGCAACAGCTTACTCCATCAGGTACTAAACTAAGCTGCTGCTTATGAAAACATACACCTCTGATTTAACTTCCCAGACACAGGGCCTGGATGGATAACACATTTACACTGGTGTGAAAAATAAGTGGACATTTGATTTCTAGTCATACACTAGTGTAGCTTACTAGAATCTGGTGTAGAGTTATCCCTGGAAAAATCAAGAGGAAACTACACCGTGTAAGTTACTCTGGTGTAGGCATCATGTGTCTACTTATATCCTGGGGTGACTTTTCATGTAATGCAAATAGGCTATTGCCTGCTCCTTTGCCACTAATGGCGAGGCAGTGTAGTGTAGTGCCTTCTTCAGTAGTTACCTATGAACAAATGGCCATTTGTTCACTGTGGACACTGGTGTAGGTTACAGTGCTGTATATAACTGGTATAAGACACGTTGATTTTGACATGCTGTATAGCCAGGCCTATAGAGTGGAGATAAATGCTACCAATAATGGTATCAGGGATACAAGCTGTAGCCATATTGGTCTGCAGGCAAAAGGAATCAGAACTTGTGGCAGAGGTGATATCTTGTATTCGACCAACTAGATATTTGCACACACACAAAAACATTATTTGCAAGTTTTCAGGCGCACACACCCTTCTTCAGGCACAGGAGAATGCAAAGTGCTGGATTTAAACCTCAATGACATATGGCCCCCAAACCTTCGATCCTGGCTTTAGGGGCTCATAATCCATCTTCTCCTGATATTTTAAGGGATGTGGGGAAGGAGCCAGTGGGTAGTTCTGTGGCAATTTTCCAAAATGTGTCACTACTCTTGGTTTTGACTGACTTCCTATGACACACAGGTAGGGGTCCATCAGAACCCTGCAAGGCTTTCTTCACCTTACGAGATGTTTCTTAGCTCTGTGACTCCAGTGGTGACCTGCCATATGGATGGCCTCAGAGCTAAGGACCCAAGGCTTTTCAGCTTCCCTGCTCCCTGCAGTGGAGCCAGGAGTCTTGCAACCTCAACTTGACATGGGGCGACTCTACCACCACAATGGTGCAGATGATCCTGCATGGCACCCATCTGCTCTGAACGATAATATATACTGTTCTGATTTTTAGACTGACTCCATATTTGTTGATTGAGACTTCTGTGACTCTTATTAAGGGGGAAAAAGGTAGACTTATAAGTGGAATAACATGTCATTTCACGTAACCCCATCCAGGAGGCACTGTTTTAGGAGGTCTCAGCTGTCTTAATAGTAACTCTTCTTTTGCCCATTCTTACTCCACAGTGGAAATATCTACACAAGACACTACTGCACAGTAGTTACTGCACCGTTATTTAGTACTTGTATAATCTAATACTAAATAAATGCTCAGTAACCAGAGTTATGGCGCAAAAGTGCCGGTGATCACTTTTTTTAGTGACGCTACTGTGCAGTAGCCTAATAATACTGCACACTAGCATATTAACACTGTCTGTGCTGTGACATGCTACTGTGCAGTATTATTCAGCTACTGTGCAGTTAGCATCTCATGTAGATGCTCCCAGTGAGAGAAACTGAGGAAATTTAGGCCTCAAACAGGCACAGAGACAGTTACCATGCAGCAGCTGAGGCCATCTGTTCCATCAGCATCCTCTTAATTTAGCTGCCTTATTCTGCCCAGACTTGTTCTCATTTGTGCCTAAACTTCCTTGTAGGGCTGTCCCATTCATCTTCTGGTCTAAGCTTTTCCCCGTGGATCTAGTGAGCCTCTCAGTCATAATTATTAGTCCCTACCCTCCTTCAGATGTCACCCAACCCTCTCATAGTTCAAGCCATGTTTGATCCAGACACCTCAGCTTCCAAATATGTAATTTTGTGTCTGGTTTCCCTCATGATTCAGTCACACATTCGGGTTTCTAACTGTCCACTGTATAAATAATCAAGCTTAGACACAATTACCGGCAGTGGATAAAATTCTCCATTTGCTTCAATTAAGTTATGCCAATTTACATCAGTTGATGATGTGGATTTATATTTCTAAGTCTGACACAGACTGGGATATTCCAAGGAGGCATTCCAGTGCATAGGTAGCAACTTTGGTTTTTGCCAGTGGGTGCTTGCAAATGTAAAAAAACCTCCCAAAAAGCAGTGCTTTGAACTTGGCATGTTCCTGCACCAAGCTGCAAACACATGCCTAGAACAGGCAGTGTATTACTTCAAACCAGTTCTGCAGCATCTGTAGAGTTCAGGCACTTTAGTGGGGGTTTTTTGACACTTTTATCTAATAGCCCATTGGATCAGCTTTAGTTAAGTGTCAAAAAGCCCCGCTAAAACACCTGATCTTTACTGACACTGAAGAGCTGGGTTGAAGTAACATGCTGCTACTTCTCGTAAAGCATGCTTTTGTTTTGTTTTTTAATGTCTGCAAGCATCCACGGCTGTGTCTCATGGGTGCTGAACACCCGCTATTTTTTTTAGTGGGTGCTTGAGCCCTGGAGCACCCACGGAGTTGGCACCTATGTTCAGGTGCCACTGGATTTTGATGGGAGTTGGATGCTGAATTCAAACCTGTTCGAAATTCCAGCTATAATCTCGCCTTGCAGTATATCCATACTCTGCACCTCACTTCTCCATCCATAAAACAGTAATAATCCCTTCTTTCTCACACTAATCTGTCAGGATTGCAATCTTTTCATGGGAGCTGTCTCTACTATGTTTATGTACAGTACTTAGCACACTGATGATATGTTATCCTTTGGGGAGCCTAAATGCTGCTGTAATAAAGAAATACACAGGTCTTCCCAAAGGTCACTATTAGATTGTGGGTCTGATAGGCAAAATCATCTAACACAGTTTAAGAACCTCAGTTCCACTGAAACACAGTTGACTTTAGAGCTCATGTTCATTAATTATTTGGATAATGGAACTGAGGGCATATGTAGCAAATCTGCAGATGCCACAAAGTTGGGTAGAGTTGCAAACACTCTGTAGAGCAGTAATAGGATCCAGAATGGATCAACAAGGACAAGTGCAAAGTCCAACACTCGGGGTGAAATAATTACATACAATCTTGGGAATAAATGTACCTTCAGAGGACCTGGAAGTTATAGTAGACCATAAGCTGAATATTAGCCAACAGTGTGCTCTTGTGCTAAAAAAGCCAACAGCTTGCCAGGTTGTCTTAACAGAAGTGTCACTTGCAAATCAAGGGAAATGATTCTTTCACCCTATTCAGCACTGGTGCAGCCTCAGCTGGAGTACTGTGTCTAGTTTGGGGCCCCATACTTCAAGAAGGATGTGGATAGACTGAAAAGGGTCCAGTGCAGAGCAACCAAAATTATTAGCAGCCTGAGAAGCAACACTTATGAGGAAAGGCTGGAAGAGCTAGGGTTAATTATTCTGGAGAAGAAAAGAATGATGAGGGATTTGATAACAGCCTTTAAATACCTGAAGGGTGATTATAGAGAGGATGGAGACAGGTTTTTCTCCATGGTTACAAGGGACAAGACTAGGAACAATGTGCTCAAGCTGCAGCAGAGAAAAGATATGTTGGAGATTAGAAGGAACTTCCTGAATATAAGGGTGGTCAAGCTTTTGAACAGGGTACCTAGAGACGTGGAATCTCCACCCTTAAATATTTTCAAGAGCAGGTTGGACAGACATTTGGCTGGGATGGTTTAGTCAGGTTGATCCTACCTTAAGCAGGGGGATGGACTAGATGACCTTGTGAAGTCGTTTCTGGCCCTACTTTCCTATGATTCTAAATCATTTAGGCATGTTTGAAAATGTTTCATTTCTGCATCATTGCCTTTAGAACCTGAATTGTTCACAACTGAGAAAGCAACATGACATTTGCCTTTGTGTAATGTCAATGTTTTCAGGCTTTTCCCCTGTGAAAACATGTTCATGGCCTATGAGTTGCATCCTGGTTTGCTGTCTGGCAGAGAAGCCAAGGATTGAATGGATCTGAGGATTCCAGTACTTTGCTACTCACCAGAACATGTGGCAATGTGCTGCAAGACTCTGTGAAGGAAACTTGCTCTGATGCTCTTTGTACTGTGGATAAACCCTGGACCTCTAAGCTCTTGGGCTCACAGTTTGACTCCATATTGCAACAGATTCTAGTATCTCATTATGAATTGCTACGTTCATTTTTACTTTGCCTTTCTACTAATGGAATCCATTCTGCTCAGGAGGGACCCTTACCAATGAGTTCCTGACAGATGAAGAGCTCTATATTCGGTGGTTGCAGATTGTGACCTTCCTTCCTGTGATGTCCTTCAGCACTCCGCCATGGGTCTGCTGTGATGACTGGGTATGTACTCTCTATGCCTCATATCATCAAGTGTTCCCTGGCACCACAAGATCCAGATAATGTGCTCTGTAGAGACTCTTATACAAGAATCTGAAGGGCTTTGCCAATGTTAGTCCCAATAATAGCACTGTGAAACAGGTATTACCCATCCCCTTTTTGCAGATAATTTCTGCACCTCAGCTTGTTTATGCCAGAAATAGTCTGTATTTGGGTGCCTAAAATTGGGTTTCCAAATCAATAGGTTCCTAATGTGCATGGCTTGTTTCTTCAGTAATGTTCAGCAATTTTAGGCTCAAGTTCTGTCAAAGCAATGGGGGAAATAAATTCCAGGATAAAGGCTCTCCAGTACGAACTGTTTTGCCTTGCAGGTTTAAATTTAGGGTCTGTTAGCTCAAGCTTTTCAATTGATCTCCAAGAAAGTCAAGTCACTTCCTGTGGAAATGGTGCAATATGGTCCTTGTGGTTAAGTTTGCCCAACAACTGGGCAAAAGCTGCCTTTTGCCCCACCTGTGACTTGGGAGGGTCATCAAGCCAATTTAGATAGAGTACATTGCACTTCTCCTCACTAGAAGCCCAAAAGATGTGGTTGACCTTACCAAGACCCATAACTGAAGGAAATGCTTGTCCTGAAGTAGTTGAAAAATCCCATTTGGGCCATTAGTGTCATCTGAGATTCAGGAGTGACCAGGAAACCAAAATCGCCATCTAATTTTTTGCCAAGCAAAGAGTAGGAGGGCCTCTGAGAAGTAGGAGCAGGAATCACATATACTGGACTCCTAGGGTACATCTCTACAAGCATAATGCAGGGGCCCCTGTTTCCCACAGGACAAATAGCAGTGGCACATATTTGTGCTGCTGCTATTTGTCCCCAGGCACACCCCTGCACGTGTCCTCTGGCACACAGCAAAGGTACCCAGATGGGGTAGGGAAGGCTGGGCCCAGCACCTGTGCTGGCCCCAGGACCCTTACCCAGGGTTCTGGGTACCTCTGGGGCAGCAGCAGCACCGAGCCAGCCACTCAGAGCCTGGCCATCAGCCAGAGAATGGTTGTGATTGGTCAGGCTGTGGTTCTGTAGGCGCACACATGCTGCATTTTTTAGTGGTAGTTTTTTTTTACACTGAGATCTCCTGGTATAAAAAAAAACCCCACCGTGCTGTAAATTAGCAGCATGGCACATGGGTGCATGTGTGCTGTATGTAGTTTGCAGTACCTCAAACAGCTTTGAAGTGCTGCAAACCGCATGTGCATGCTCATGGGGACATGTCTGTAGCATCCTTCTTCTAACCTGTAGACTCCATGGTCTTCTTTTGAACTTATGACAGCTCTCTCCCATCCAGATCTCAATTTCAGCAAAGCAGGAAGAGAACAAAGCATTCATCCATTCAGGTCTGATGAAAGCAAGTTGTATACCATTGACACAGATGTCAGCACCAGTATTCATGAAGCCTTGCTACATTGTCGTGCATGCTGAAGGGGAGTGGTGATATGCACCATCTCTCTCTCTCTCAGCAAACATGTACCTGGGGGAAATGTAATTCCCAACCTTTTCAGTTTAGTGGATGCATCACCTCCGAGGCACTGACTTTTCCATAGTGAGGACAGAAAATCAGACAGAAATAGCAGCCAAAGAAGCACATGTTTCTGCATCAGTACTTCTCTCCCCTCCATATACTATCACCACTGCAACAACATAGGAAACTTATTTTTTTCTTTATGATTTGGTTTTAGCATCAACTAGCTGGTACCAGAAAGAGAATCAGTAAGGCTGGTTCATCCAAACATGCCATTTGTTCTGATGGTGACAGACATGTTTCCCTGAGGATTCAATTTTAGGATGATAAGTCTGGTAAAATTCAAGCTGAAAGACTTAGGAGTTAAATCACACCTTCTATGTCAGTAGTCAGAGGTGGATCCAGTGTGGGGTGCAGAGGCACAATCACACCCCCTTTTGATTCCCACTGCCAGTGTAAGGAGAAGAGTCCCAGGTCCTCATCGGGGAGGCCATTGGGTATGTGTGTGAGGGAGCTAGCTGACACCCCCAGGCTCTCTCCAACCCAGTGCTAGCCCTAGAGAGCTACAGTTTTACTTTTTGAGTAAAGGAGCCCACAGCAGGAGGGGTACAGGGATCCCACACTCATGCCACAGCAGTAGCAGCTGAGATGCAGGGAGCTCACACCACATCAATCTGTCACAGCTGTTTGCACTTGCTTGTCCAGTGGTTCACTGATCATTTTTTTGCTAGGATTAATTGTCCATGCTTTTCTGCATGACCTTGTTTTCCCTCTGGGAGTGAAAAGTCTTGTTTTTCTGTTCTCTTTGCCATTTATTAATTGAGAGAACTTGTTGAATTCTTCTTCCCAGGTGCTGAATCTCACTAGACAGTACATACAGAGGCATCAAGAGTTTGTTGTCCCACTCATTTTAAAATACAGCAAGGAGTGGCTATCCATGGGGTATCCCATCTTCCGGCCAGTGTGGTGGCTCAGCCCTAATGACCCTATCACCTTTACAGTAGATGATGAATTTCTCATTGGAGATGAGGTAGGTAATGCAGACATGGGGACTAATTCTACTCAGGGGCATTTTCACAATGTAATTTAGACCAGCTGACCTCTGTGCTTCCCCTTCCCATTACCCCAGCTCCCCCACCAAGCAGTCTGGATCAAATGGAGTTTGTTAGAAACTTTGGGATTGATCCAAAGCCCATTAAAACCAATGGAAGATTCCTATCTATTTCAGTGGACTTTCGATGGAGCCATAGACTTGGAAAAGACCTAGTAAGTCATTCATACTCATCCAGATTTGGGGGCCAGCAAATGATTTTCCTCAGTGATCTCGAGTGCTTTTCCCAGTCTAATTTTTAACTGGGTCTAGCAACTGAGAATCTACCATGTCTTTTAATTCTGCCATCTTCCAGATTCTACTGTCAGAAAATGCCTCCTAATCTTAAACCTAATTTTTTTTTCTTCTGAACTTTGTCACAACTCTAGCCCCATTATCACCTCTCCCATCAGATGTCTAGGCTGTCCAAACATGTGCAGTCATGGCCAGATGCTCACCTTGACAATCTCTTAGCCCAGGGAGGCATCCTTAGGTTCTTAAACCTTCCCTACAATGTCAGCTTCTCTAGGCTCTTCATACTTTTTATTGCTCTTCATTTTTGTCTTCACTCCAGTTGCCCCACCTTTGGAAACATCGGCAAACACTACACAAGAGTAATTGTCACCTGTGGAAAATTCTCTGCAGTGTCAGCATTTTGTATTTAGGTTTATGACCCTTTGGCAGGATAGCTGCCTTGTATAGTGTTGGTATAAAAACCAGGGCTTTCCAACTGTAGTGATCACTGGGATGAGTAAATACAGGCATAGGTGAATGAGAAGAACAACACACTTTAATTTGTGGAGCATGACACAATGTCTGCAGACCCTTTGTCTGTATCTCACTAAGTGACTAGCTAGAGGCTCTATCACTAAGGGATCATTTCCCAAATCCCAACTCCCTCAGCCTCCTACTAGGGAGCATCCATAAAGTATAACTTCTATCACTATACCAACCATCCAAGGAAAACCATTGCTTTTATCTTCCATTCTATTTCCTTAATAACCCCTATCCCTCCAGTTTCATAAAAACATTGGCTTGTTGCAGAATGCTCTGTGCCTGTGCACTTAAAGGACTGGGTGTATACAGTCAACTTAGGCTGTCATGAAGCTGCTTTTGGGAGCAGGCAGAGATGTAACTTATGGTAAAATGTTGGTACTCTGGGCAGCATGGTTGGGAGGGAAGCAAGTGCTCTTCTGCTGGCACAGGAGCTTCTGCAGTTGTGCTTTTGGCTGCTGTTGCCACAGCACAAGCTCCCCAAATATGGACTTCTGCAGTGGCAGCAAGCAGTGCGGGTTTTCATTCTGGCGCCCCCACTGAATTGGTGTTTGGGGTTGATGCATTGCTTCCCATTCATCCCCAGGTTACACTGTGCAGGTTTGGCACGCTTGCTTCTGGTAGTCTTGCTTTGGAACATAGAGGCATTGTGCATTTGGTTGATATTGAAACGATTACTGGGACTTAATTTAAATTTTCATTGAATTTGCAGATAGAGTGATGCTAAGGAATCAAAATAGATATTAGAGGAAGTGTTGGTTGCAATCATCCTTAACAGTGCCCTGGAGCTGCATGAAAAGAGGGAACACTGTTATAGTTTACAAATGACTTCTGTTTTTGACTGATTTTGCTTATTTTTAACTGTTTCACCTGTTTTCCTGCTAATTAGCATTTGTTACACTCCTGGACAAAAGGAAAATGGGAGGTTAAAAGCTGAGAGCTTAGAATCTCCTAAAATCTAATCTCACATCTATCACTCACTTTCTAGAGCCTTGGACAAGTCCTATCAACTCCTTGTTCCAGGTTCCCTTTGTAAAGCAAGGATAATAATGATAGTACTTATCTACCTCTTGGGGACTAATCAGTGTTTTGAAGGTGAAAACCACAAAGGACCTGGTCCAGTGCAACTTCAGTAGCACTGCCCTCAATAGTGTCTTCTACTGATTCTAGAGTAATTATTCAAAATGAATATTCATTTGAAAGAGCTCCCTCCCCCCCTAACCTGTTTCTCCACTCTCCTTGCCCACTTCAAAGCACACCTATAAGTAAATGTAAGCTGGAGAAATGAAATAAAGTATAAATTTTCCAGACAGTTAACAGCCTCCTCAAGACATCACCAGCCATGGTCCAAGAAAGAAAGATTACAAACCTACTTGGTTCTATGTATCAGTCATTCACTAAAAGCTGTCTGCCCAGCTTTTGGCAGTTGATTTCTGCATAGATGCCTCCCAGAATCCCTTGTTTCACGAGGGAAAAAGAGGGTTCTGAGATGCCTTTGAGGATTGGTTGCAACTGGGTGAAAGCTGGAGGTCATGATGTGAGAAAAGCGTGAGATTATCTGACACGGAGTCACAGGCTGGGGTCAGTGTCAGGATCCAGGCATATCAGCAGCTGGTCTGTGTACAGGATTTACTTACATGAAGCTATTTTTTGACCTCATGGGCTGCTAAATTGCAGAGCCATTCATACTATTTATGCTACAATATTTTAAACAACACTTGTTTAGACTAATAAGGCAAATGAGCGTTATCAATTAGCATTTAACAAGATAGCTGTAGTACTTTAAAAAGCAATCAACATTTTTCTGCATTTTCTACTAGAGTTTCAAACACCACGGATATCTAATTAGGTTTCCTGAAACTTTCCTTATTTGTTCAGATCAAGATTAATTTAAGTGCCTAAACACTTTTGCAACTTTGGGATGTTCACACGTTGATCTTGCCTTGAGTATCTCATGTAGCTGCCTCCACAGATTTATCACTTTCATTGCAGAGAGATATGCTAAGTGTTCATTTAGCATATAAACTGCATAAAATGTAGTGTGAGTTATGGCCTTATTAAGTCTAGACAATCAAAGAGCTTTCTTATTGGCTTATTAGAAACTTTAAATAACCTTTTTGTCTATTAAATAATTCTGCTTTGATATTTTATATTTTGCTCCTCTTTTCCTTAATTATTTACATGGGTAAGATATCAAGGTGGCTTAACATCTCATCTGCTTCCTCACTGTATTCCCTGAACTTGTGATCTCTTTATGACCTCACAGTTTTCTTCAGAGCAACACACAAACAGAAGATGACTTTAATTCCAAATAACATCTATCTGTGTGTTAGCTCCTTAGTAGAGTTTTCTCCTTGGCAAAAGGAGAAAAAGACACGTGTTTCAGGGAGAGAAATATAAACGTTTCAATTGAAAACATATTTTATGATTTGTGTGTATTATTTGATCTTGAAATGTGTGGGCTAGGTGGGCTTTTCTGGCTGTGCTGGGACTGACTATTGTATAGCAGCCATATATGAGTTACACCAGGCCTGCCCCTCTGGTTGTTCACAACATGACCCTGGCACCTCACTTGAAGGGAGGTTGACCCAGAGGAAACAGACATGCTGTACCTCGCCCGTTCCTGGCAGATGAGCTCCAATCCTGCAGACTCTTATCTCGCTTGCACAGAAATCAGAGATAACACTCACTTTTACCTCACCTTGTGGCTGAGGAGATGTGGGGTGGGTTTCTGGGTGAATGATTCAGAAGGTGGCTCTGTGAGCTGGAACTATTTCTATTCCCCAGTGTGATGTTGCCAGACCCCCTGCTGCTGTAGAAGCATTCATTTTTCCAGTTGAGATAAAACCACAGTCCTTGATCACTTTTATTCGTTTACGAATTCCATGACACCTCTCCTAAAGAGGGGCACGCTGACCTTGGCATCCTGAGACCTGTCTGCTTGCTTCTGCACTTAACCCTTCTCCAATCCTTGTCCCCACAATCAGTTGGGCCAAATAAGATCCTGATCACAAACAAGAGTTCACGGTGGAAAATGTTATTTGACAATAAACTTGGCTGAAAACATTGCTACAATAACAAAAGTCTGGAATTTTGGCTGTAATGTTGAAGATTAGTTACAATCACAAGAAAACTAAAACATATTTCCTTCCCAAGAAACATTTGAATTGAAAAATCTCCTGTGCGATTGAATCAGACAGTTCCAGCACAGAAATGTGGTCTGCATTAGCAGGGAGAGATTCTTGTCTAAGATACCACAAGCTCAAGAACAAAGATTGAAGCAGCCTCAGACCTTTCTCCCAAGAGGTGCAAAGCCAAAGTTTGGCTGAAAGTTCAGCTCCTAAAATATTGTTCATTTAAGTGTTTTCTAAGCAAATAGTGCAAGGCCTCTATGTTCTGAACTGATTCAAGACAAAGCCTATTCCACTTTCCAAAGCCAACCTGGACTAAATATTTTATGAGCTCTGAATTTGGATACACATTTGCTAAAGATTTTTCAGGCACTTAGAGATGTGAGGGGCTGGCAGTACCCAAATACCTCAGAAAAGAGCATACTTGGTGAACTCCTAGCACTATCAGTTTCAGAAAGCATCCCAATCCAAGTAGAGGTATTCTCCTGAAGGATTTTCACTACAGTACTGGAAGGGTTTAAAACCTTGGAGCGCTGCATTGAGCCCTTTGTAGGAGTCTTCCCTTGCTATAAGCTCCTTCTACAAAGTGAAGTACAAAAGGCCTTCATGTTAAAGCTTGAAGGTGGTTCATGGGCTGACTTTAGTGAATTTTGCATCAGACCCTTAATGAGTCACTTCAAGTAGGAAGAATGTGCTAGTTTTTAGTTCCGGTTCTTATCCTAGTAAAATTCAGGACCAAATTTCCACAGATTTCAATGGGAGCATGATCTGACCCATAGCAATGTCCTTCCTATATCCATAGTTAAGTAAGTGGTAAAGATCTAGAAAGAGGATGTAGAGATACAGGTTGTTGTGTTAATACAATGGAAAATACAATGGAGTACAATGAAAAAGTGTATGGGTAACTTATAGCAATGTAACAAACTGGGTCCTGGACTTCCAAGGGAATAAGAATGTGTAAAGGCAGAATTTTAAAGTAGAGAATTGCAAGTGCAAGTCATAGAATCATAGAAAATGAGGGTTGGAAGGGACCTC